TATATATATATATATATATATATATATATATTAGGCTTGTCGCAATGAACAATAAATCAATCAATCGCATGATAAATGAAAATGATCATCCTCATTTTCATTTATCGACTTTATCGTTGCTTCGTGTCTCTCTCTTTCTGAAAACACTGGATGACAAAAGGCTCAACTCCGGTGCTCTTCACTGACCCCTCACTTTCTCTTTAAAATCCATTTTAACGATCCAATATCTCAATTTTGGATCGTTAAAAGCAGCTAAGCTAACAGGCCGACCTCAGGAAAAAACCTCCGTCTTGTCAAAGCTCCAAAATTCACGGTTGAAACCTGTGCCTTTGTCAAAAAAGTTTTTTCTGCAAAACGAAGCTGAGAACTTGTTTTTACAGATTTTTTTAATTTTTATTAAAAGCTTTATGTGAAAAATGCTAAAGAGCTCAAACCACACCGAGTGTCTGCCATTTTGATAACCGAAGAGAGACAGCCCATGTCATGTCAAGGGGCCTCCCTCCCATGTTTCTTAGAGACACTCTGCTCACTCCCTCACGATTCATCCTTTGGTTCGAACAGTCTTATACTTCCATCCGGTGGTCAAAAAAAGTACTACATGCAAAAAAAATTCACCAATATTTCTTATTAATTTTGACAATAATTACTAATTATTGTCAAATTTCAAACAATATTGTTATTTATTGCAATAATTTTTGAGACAATTACTGGTCTAGCAATTTTTTTTTTACATGTCAGGCCTAATATATATATTTATGTATATGTATAAATGTTAGAAAAAATAAACTGCATTTTTTACAAATAGCACCTTTATGTTGTTGTGGTTTATCATAATTATTTTGGATCATTAGCCTGATCCAAAAGGGCAAAGCACAAAACCGCATAGAATTTTGCAAAGTTTTGTTAACTTACCTACATTCCTCATGAAGTGAATAAATATATAAATAAATCTAATAAAATTGGTTAGATTAAAAGTTTGAATTGACTCTCAGCTACTACCACACCAGATTTTAGCTCAATATCTGTAAAACTGGCTGAATTTCAGTCATTTTTTGTGTTTACTGAGGTTGATTAGCTGTGTCAGCCATCAATCAAGTCGTTTTTGAAAGTTAATCAGTTGTAGATGTACATCCAGTGAGTACTTTCTAAGAGTTTTAATAAACCTCTGGCTTATAAAATACTTTGTTAACAGACAAACACAAACAGTCCCACACATGCACAATTATATGGTTGCCCTCCTAATAATGATGGGCATATACACTGAACAAAAGCAAAAAATGCAACACTTTTGGTTTTGCTCCCATCTTTCATGAGCTGAACTCAAAGACCTACAGCTCTTTCTATAAACATAAAAGTCATTTTTCTCTTAAATATTGTTCAAAAATGGGTGTAAATCTGTGTTAGTGAGCACTTCTCCTTTGCCAAGATGATTCATGCACCTCACAGGTGTGGCATATCAAGGTGCTGATTAGACAGCATGATTATTGCACAGGTGTGCTCTAGGCTGACCACAATAAAAGGCCACTCTAAAATGTGCAGTTTTATCACATAGCACAAAGCCACAGATGTTGCAAGTTTTGAGGGAGCGTGCAATTGGTATGCTGACTGCAGGAATGTGCACCAGAGCTGTTGCCCGTGAAGTGAATGTTCATTTCATTACCATAAGCTGTCTCCAAAGGCATTTCAGAGAATTTGGCAGGATCACCACATCCGGCATCTTCACCTCAAAGATTGTCTGAGACCAGCCACCTGGACAGCTGCTGCAACAATCAGTTTGCATAACCAAAAAATTTATGCACAAACTGTCAAACCATCTCAGGGAAGCTCATCTGCATGCCTAACGTCCTCATCGGGCTCTCCACCTGACTGCAGTTCGGCGTCGTAACTGACTGAGTGGGCAAATGCTCACATTGGATGATGTACATGTATGTCATATTAGAGAGGTGTTCTCTTCACGGATGAATCCCAGTTTTCCCCGTACAGGACAGATGGTAGACTGTGTATGGTGTTGTGTGGGTGAACTGATGGCAATGTAGTGAATGGAGTAGCCCATGGTGGCAGTGCGGTTATGGTATGGGCAGGTCTATGTTATAGACACCAAACACAGGTGCATTTTATTGATGGTACATTGAATGCACAGAGATACCATGACAAAATCCAGAGGCCCATTGTTGTGCCATTCACCTATGACCATCACCTCATGTTGCAGCATGATAATGCACGGCCCCACGTTGCAAGGATCTGTACACAGTTCCTGGAAACTGAAAACATCTCAGTTGTTGCATGGCCAGCATACTCTCTGGACATACCACCCACTGAGCATGTTTAGGATGTTCTGGATCAGTGTATACAAAAATGTTTTCCAGTTCCTGACAACATCCAGCAACTTTGCACAGCCATCAAAGAGGAGTGGACCAACATTCTACAGGCCGCAACAACCTGATCAACTCCATGTGAAGGAGATGTGTGGCAAATGGTGGTCACACCAGATACTGACTAGTTTTCTGACCCAGAACCCCCCATCTAATCATGCTGTCTAATCAGCATCTTGATATGCCACACATGTGAGGTGTATGGATGATCTTGGCAAAGGAGACATGCTCACTAACACAGATCATGAAAAATGGGAGTAAAAACCAAAGTGTTGCAAATTGCAATTGTATTTTTGTTCAGTGTGTTTGAGAATGTTTAGCGGGGTTGGTACTGTATATGTATCTGACATGCATCCATAATGAAATGTTTATCAGTTGTGAATTTAGTTTAAGCTTATATTTTCTTTTATGATTTCAGCTGCTGTTGACACGGAAAATTAATAAAATCCATTTCGGCTCAACTGTTGTGGTTACTGCACAATCAGCGAACGTGTACAAAGTCCAAAATATCTCACTTCCAGTAGATGGTGAGTTAAAGTGCAACAATGTGAACAGAACCAGAAAACAGATCTGTCAGTATAATAATATAATACTTATTATTATTATTATCATTCTTTTCAGTTTGTTCCATGAAGCTCGATGGGATTGTAGCAAAATGTCATGGTAAGAAGTTAAAATGTTAGTGTGTAATTTTTAAAGCAATTTACAGAATTAACTGAGTGATTGACAGAAATGTATAATGTTTATGTGTGAGTAACTGTAGACACTTCATATTTGACCTTTTTAAATGTAATGACATACATCGCTTAGCATTTTTCACATTTCTCGTCAATGCAGCTGCTCAAAACATTTGAAAAATGGTGTTTATGATGACTAATGTGTGCTCCCCTAAGTTCCCAGACTCCATGCGGTAATTGAGGACGGGGAAGTCCGACTGCAACAAGAAAGCACCAGTTCCAAACACGGCAAGCTCTCCTGTCTAATGGTTTGGGATGGAATATTTAAAGACTGTTCATGGGTCAGTCAGTGGAAATCTGTACAGATGAGAGTTAATGCAGCAGCAGAGGCAAATCAACATTTCTCTGTGTGTGGGTTTGTATATGTGTAAAACCATTTTCTTATCTCTGCAGCCCAAAAACAAGAGCGAGATTGCCGTTCCATCAGAAATGATTGCACCCTGCTTGTGCTTCCTGGTAGCTGACAAATTAAATAACAAGTTATAAGTTGATATATTTAATGAATTTTTAGTAACACATGAATATTTTGTTTATAGGCATGGTGGGACGGAGACGTCCGGGTGGAATACTGTCCTTTTAGAAATCATAAAGGTAAACAGAAGTTTTTAGTTTTGTCAGTTTGTCTGCGAGTTAGAAGCTGCTAAATGTGTTTTCTCTTTCTTATTGCTCCCCAGAGGCCTTTGAAAGAATGCAACACAACATGACTGTTACCATGAAGGAGGCTCCGCTGAGGGGCGGTGGGACAGGGCTGTCCTGGAACGTAACTTCCTCCTGCAAACTGAAGGGAGAGGTGCAGCTGTGCAAGAAGGATCCTGCAGAAAGCCAGTGTGAACAAGTGATGGACTCCAGACAGAAGCTGCAGGACGTCTGGGTTAAATCAAGGGACAGACACTGGGTAAAAAGAACACGTTTTTTCAAATGCAAAACATTTAAATCTACAAGAAAATGTAGGTATTTTATTGTACCATTGTTAAACATTATTTAAAAGTGAAAAAGTTGTCCATTTTATAATGAGTAAAAATTGCTTCATTTTAATTAGAATTAAACTGTTCACAACAAAGAGTTGATGGCAGCTTGAGAGTCTTAAATTCATCTGAAAACATTGCACTCACACAGAGATTTTGTGTTTTAAATGTATTTATTAAATTGAAAAAGTGGTCTCCAGCTACAAGTACTTGGGTGTACACATGAATGACAACCTCAGCTGGAGCAACAACACCACCAGCCTGATCAAGAAAGCTCATCAGAGACTCTACTTCCTCAGACGGTTGAGGCGAGCTGGTCTGGGAAGCTCAGTCCTCACCTCCTTCTACAGGTGTGCAGTGGAGAGCATCCTGTGCTCGAGCATCAACGTGTGGCATGGAGGCTGCACAGCTGCAGAAAGAAAAGCTTTGCAGAGAGTGGTGAAGGCTGCACAGAAATCTGTTGGAATCAGTCTCCCCACCATCACAGACATCTACACCTCCAGATGCAGGAAGAGGGCCACCTGCATCATGAAGGACCCCACCCACCCAGCACACACACTTTTTGCCCCACTCCCCTCAGGAAGGAGGTTAAGGAGCATTAAGTGTAGAACCACTAGACTGAGGAACAGCTTCTACCCTGAGGCTGTTAGACTCATGAATCTAACTAGAATAATCACTGTGAAAAACCATATCATGTTGCTGCTGATCTGTTTCATGTTGCTGCTGATCTGTTTCAATGTTGATGTGTTCATGCGTGCACATCTGCTCACAGACTCATGTTCATGTTTGTGCTGATGTTCAATGTTTTTATGTTATGAGTGCTTAGTGTATATTTAGTTGATGTTTTTCTTAGTTCATATCTTAGATGTTATTACTGTTTTTCTTAGACATTTTATTGTTGGATGTAACTGGGACCCTGTGTACATAATTTCGCTCCACCACATGTACCACATGAGGTGCGAATGACAATAAAGAAACTCTGACTCTGACTCTAAATAATAATAATAATAATTAAGAACTAAAAGATGCAAAACAAAAACTGTAAAATTATGTCTATAGATTTTTTGGGGGATCAGTGTGTTTGTCGATTATTTATTACTTATTATATTATCAAGAAAAGTCTTTCTGTTTGAAATGAGGAGCAACAAATGTATTTTTTTTAATTAAAAATGTATCTTTTAAATTGTATATTTGTACTGTAATATTTCATCCCAATCAACTTTTAACACCAAGTGCCTAAATGTCACATTTATTAATGATTTATTTTTTTTGTTCTTTATTTTGTGTTTTTACTTTTTAGCAAGCAGGACTGTTCAACGTGACACCCCATCCTCTGATCTGTGTGCAGGTAACATTACTATATTTTCGTTATACAAACACAACATTATAGAAAATATTTTCTGTTCTGTGCGCGGTGGATGAAATCTTTTTTAAACCTTTTTTAGGGGAAACTTGAAGGAATGCAGTCATTTTCAGAACCCCACTGTCCATTTTCAAGTAAGACCAATAATTGTTCTTCAGACTCTCAGCCATCTCAAAATAATTCATGTTTTTTTGTACGCAATATAACTAATTACAATATAGCTGTTCATATTGTCATAAAAAACATGATCCTGTTTTGGTTTTCCAGCCTCTCGAGTGAGATGGATCCTACCGCTTCTCGTTGGATTACTGCTGATCTGTTTGGCTATACTTGGAGCCTATTTAATACAAGGTGTCTTAAAAGGTGTGCACATTAATTGTACATCAAGAAATCTTTCTAAGACTTTCTGTAAAAACATCTAACTTTAAACACTGTTTTCTTTTCAGGCTACGTTTGGAAATGGCTGAAAGAAGACGATGTCAAAGGTCAAACATCTAACATTCACCCTATTTGGACCAAACACTTGTTTTATTGCTACTTTACACCACTAATAAATCCATTGATCCATCCATCTATCCATCCATCCATCCATCTATCCATCCATCCATCTATCCATTCATCCATCCATCCATCCATCCATCCATCCATTATCTTCCGCTTGTTCCGAAGTCAGGTCACAGGGCAGCAGCTTGAGCGTGGAGGTCCAGACATCTCTTTTCACAGCCACCTCTTCCAGCTCTTCTGTGAGGATTCCAATAGTCTCTCCAGTGTGTCCTGGGTCTTCCCTGGGGTCTCGTCCCAGTCGGACATGCCTGGAGCACCTCCCTAAGGAGGCACCCAGGGAGCATCCTTACCAGATGTTCCTCTCGATGTGGAGGAGCAGCGGTTCTACTCCGAGACGCTCCTGATAACTGAACTTCTCACCCTGTCTCTAAGGGAAAGTCCAGCTACCCTGCAGAGGAAACTCATTTCAACCTCCTGTATCCGTGATCTCATTCTTTCGGTCACTACCCAGAGCTCATGACCATAGGTGAGGGTAGGAATGCAGACCGACCAGTAAACAGAGAGCTTTGCCTTACAGCTCAGCTCTGTCTTCACCACAGTGGACCGGTACAGAGTCCGCAATACTGCAGATGCTGCACCAATCCGTCTGTCAATCTCAGGCTCCATTCTTCCCTCACTCGTGAACAAAACACAGAGATACTTGAACTCCTCCACTTGAGGCAGAACCTCACCCTCGACCTGAAGAGAGCATTCCACCCTTTTCCGGTTGAGGACCATGGCCTCAGATTTGGAGGTGCTGATTCTCATCCCAGCCGCTTCACACTCGGCTGTGAATCACTCCAGTGAGAGCTGAAGATCACGGCATGATGACGCCAACAGGACCACATCATCTGCAAAGAACAGAAGTGGAATCCTGAGGCCACCGAACTGGAAATCTTCCGCCAGCTGGCTGCACCGAGAAATTCTGTCCATAAAAGTTATGAACAGAATCAGTGACAATGGGCAGCCCTGGTGGAGTCCAACTCCCACACTGAAGGGGTCCGACTTACTGCCAGCAATGCGAACCAAGCTCTCGCACCGCTTGTATAGTGACTCAACAGCCTGTAACAACAGGCCTTCAATCCCATACTCACGGAGCACCCCCCACAGTGTACCTGTCGAATGCCTTCTCCAAGTCCACAAAACACATGTAGACCGAATGAGCAAACTCCCATGACCCTTCGAGGACCCTAGTGAGGGTAAAGAGCTGATCCAGTGTTCCACAGCCAGGAGGGAACCCGCATTTTTCCTCATGGATCTGAGGTTCGACCAACAATCGAACTCACTCCAGTACCTCTGAATAGACCAGGGAGGCTAAAGAGAGTGATGCCCCTGTAATTGTAACAGGGACAGGGGCCGCTAATAAATAAAAATAAAAAAACTGCTATCTCACATCAGTGTTGGAAGATTCTTAAAGGAAATTCAGAAAGGACTTCCATCCATCCATCCATTTTCTTCCGCTTATCCGGGGTCGGGTCGCGGGGGTAGCAGCTTGAGTAGGGAGGCCCAGACTTTCCTCTCCCCAGCCACTTGGGCCAGCTCCTCCGGGGGAATCCCAAGGCGTTCCCAGGCCAGCCGAGAAACATAGTCCCTCCAGTGTGTCCTGGGTCTTCCTCTGGGTCTCCTCCTGGTGGGACATGTCTGGAACACCTCACCAGGGAGGCGTCCAGGAGGCATCCTAACCAGACACCCGAGCCACCTCAACTGGCTCCTCTCAATGTGGAGAAGCAGTGGCTCTACTCTGAGTCCCTCCCGGATGACCGAGCTTCTCACCCTATCTCTAAAGGGAGAGTCCAGACACCCTACGGAGAAAACTCATTTCGGCTGATTGTATCCGAGATCTCGTTCTTTCGGTCACAAGCCAAAGCTCATGACCATAGATGAGGGTAGGAACGTAGATGGATCGGTTAAAATTGAGAGCTTAGCCTTTTGACTCAGCTCTCTCTTCACCACGACAGACCTGTACAGTGCCCGCTTCACTGCAGACACTGCACCTATCCGCCTATCAATCTCACAAGCAGCTGATGGGTACCGGCAGTCCAAGCGACATGCGGCTCGAGTGGTCACTGATGCATGGGAGGAGTTCGGAGAGGCCATGGAGAATGACTTCCACATGGCTTCGAGGCGATTCTGGTCCACCATCCGGCGTCTCAGGGGGGGACAGCGGTACACCACCAACACTGTTTATAGTGTGCTGCTGACCTCAATTCGGGATGTTGTGGGTCGGTGGGCAGAATACTTTGAAGACCTCCTCAATCCCACGGCACGTCTTCCACTGAGGAAGCAGAGCCTGGGGACTCTGGGTCGGGCCCTTCAGTCTCTGGTGTTGAGGTCACCGAGGTGGTTAAAAAGCTTCTCGGTGGCAGAGCCCCAGGGGTGGATGAGATTCGCCCGGAGTTCCTTAAGGCTCTGGATGTTGTAGGGTTGTGTTGTCTTACGTGACTCTGCAATATTGCGTGGACATCGGGGGAAGTTCCCCTGGATTAGCAGACCAGGGTGGTGGTCCCCCTATTCAAAAAGGGGGACCGTAGAGTGTGTTCCAACTACAGGGGGATCAGAAAGGACTTGACAATTTTAAATATGCATGAAGTGAAAAAGCTTTTTTATTACTTTGCAATCAAACAATAGCTTGTTGCAACACATTTTTAAAGTAAATAACAGATATGGGTTGTATTTTTAGATTTGTTCTTGACAACTACCTCCCCACACTGTACTGAATCATCATTTGATCAAAACCGCTGTATTAACAATTTTCTTCTTTTTCAGGCGTAGTTGGTGGTAGTCATGTGGTGCTGCTGTACCCATCAGATGAGGATAATGATAAGCGTCTGCCCGGGCTGCTGTGTCACCTGGGCTTATCTCTCCAGTCCCTGGGCTTCACCGTGTCTCTGGATCTCTGGAGCCAGGCAGAGCTCAGCGCGCTGGGCCCCGTGCCGTGGCTCCACTCACGACTGGACCAGCTGCAAAGGCAGGGGGGTAAAGTGGTGTTGGTCCTGACCCAAGCCACCTGGACACGAGCTGAAGAATGGGGTGCCCGCAGCTGTGAGAAAAATGGATCGAAAAACAGAGAAATGGAGGCAGAACCTGGGGTAAGCTACCCCCCTTCTTCACGCCACGTGGATGTCTTCGGTGCTTCGTTGAGCTGTATTCTTGCAGACTACTTGCAGGGTCGTGCTGGAGAGAGGTTTATGTTAGTGCAGTTTGAATCCCTCCCACCTGAGCCACCAGGTGGTTTTCGGTCTCTCCCACATCTCTTTTGCGGACTTCACGTTTACAGCCTCCCATCTCAGAGTCTGGGTTTTCTGACTGAACTCGCTGGCACCAAGAAAATGGCCTCTGCATCAGCCAGACGGAAAAGAGCCGGGGGGCTCAGGATGGCATCCCGAGCTCTGGCACAGAAACTGTCAGGGTTCACCGCTGGGACTAATGTCTTTAGACTTGCTGGGGTGTCCCAGGGTTGTGTTGGTGGGGGAGTGGAAGACTCGGGGGAAACTGTGCCCTTAAAATCATATCTCATAACACCCCCGTCCAGCCCAGAGTCTGACCCTAAGGTTGGTGAAGTGGTTTGAATCTGAAAGCTGCAAAGGGAAAAGGTCCGGTCATTGGAAGAGCAGCTTGTGACGAAAATACCTCAAGTGGTGCAGTTTAGCTGTTTGCTCTAAAAATTAACTGTAGGGTATGTGTGAAAAAAGAAGTGCACATTTCCATCTGCTAGAACAGCTTATTCTCACAACACACACACCTGGTTAATAAACTTTGAGTCACAGTGGCTCCATGCATTAAATCGTTCAGCATGGAAATCACACACTGCCATCATACGAGGATAACAATGAACAATCTTTGAAAGCATGTCGGATGGAAAGTTTTTTTTTTTTTTAAGCTGTAAAGCTTTAAAAATGCAGAGAGCCATCTGTTTTCTATGCCTACTTTATCCTGTTCAGGGTAACGGGGCTGGTATCAGTCAGAGATATAGAGGTGTGGGGCACCTGGGACAGGTTGTCAGTCTGTTACAGCGCCAAGACAACAACCACAGCACACACGGACACAAGGCCAGTTAAAACTCAACAGTTAACCTAACACACATGTTTTTGGACTGTGGGAAAAAACCAGAGGACCTGGAGGAAACCATATGAGGAGGACATGCAAACTGCACACAGAAAGGCTGCGGAGACTTGGAACGGTTTAACCAGCTGTGCAGCCCAAATGCAGAGAGCGACTCAGTGAAGGACATCATTCCATTAACGTGATGCTGTTTTAACTCAAGCCACTGTGCATATTTAAATTCATGTCCGTAATGATTTGCTTGCAAACGTATTGGTCTTTAAAAACTCTGAAGTATGTGAAGGCATTTTAAAAACTGTGTCTTGTAAATAGTATTACTGTTCTGTTTAATAAGTGACATATTTGACAAGTGGTGCGGTCTTGTTTTTTTTTACTGTGCTTTGTCTTTTATAATGGTTAACGTTCGGTTGAATTAAGCATCAATTGCAATTGACTCAATTAAAACACTACACGCTTATGTTTTTGCTAAAATGAGTTGTTTCTCATTTTAACATGCGCTCATACCTGTTGAAGTTTTTTTTTTCAAATCTTTATTTAGAACTTCAAATACAACAGTCTCAAAAAATACACATTAAAGAACAATGAACATAGCAAAGAAAGAAGAGAAAAAAGGAAGCAAACGATAAAAAATAAAATAAAATACGAAAATACATAAATGCGAGTTACAAAGTTAAATTATATTCATTACAGCTATTTTTTGTTTTTATAGCCTTTTTGTTATTTGAGTCTGCGATTGAGTCAAGATACAGTTTGACATCCATTACAAAGAGATCAAAAAACGGGTTCTTATGCATTATTTTACTTTTATGGATATGGAAGTTAGCAAGAAACAAGATCAGATTGATAATAAATACGTGAGAGGAGTCTTTCGTCTTGACATCTTGGATACCAAACAGAACATTTTCAAAATAGAGAAGGGAACCTGGTTAGATATTATTGGATATCAGAGCAACAATGTCCTTCAAAAAGTTCTGTGTACACTTCCAGAAAAGATGAACAGATATTTCTGGACAAAGCTTACAGAAAGAACAGGAAACATCAATATCAGCTTTGTATTTCTGAAGAAAGTGTTTGGTTGGATAAAATTTATGAATACATTTAAAAGAAACTTTTTTGACTTTATTATTGAGAAAAATAAAATCTGTTGAACCATAAATGACAGCGCGTTTATGAAAATGACGTCACACCGGTGTTCATCGATGATTGGCTGATCGGGTAAACCCCGGCGACATTTGGGCGGGGCTATATCCTGTGTGGCAGCGGCTCTGTGGATGAGAAACTGTTCATCCAGACGGGCTGTAAAGTGTCTGTCCTGCTGCTGCTCAGCTTGACACTGTGTATGAGCCGTTCCACTGTTAGCTAGCTGCTCTGTGATTGTCGTGCTCCCGAAAATGTGAAGTCCTGTTCGGTGTGGTGTGACTGAGAGCCAGCCGGGAGACAACCCTGATCGGTGGTGAAGCGGACGGACAGTGGTTTATTTCCAGGGTAAGACTAAGATATCACCAAAGTTGTGCGGGGAGCTTATTTCAAAGTGACACGTCTTGCTTAAATTATACCATATTTTAAATACAGTAATGTTGCTGAGTTTATTGAAAGATGTATCGGGAAATGAGCAGACTTTATAGACAACGTTAGCTTAAGCTAGCGGCTAACTGTTGACCTTAGCCAGCTGCTGTCTGTGGTGCTGAAGCTGAGCTAACGATGCTACGTTGCTAACACAGAGGATGGAGCATCCCAACCAGGCTAATCTGCGTGCTTTACAGGTGGTTAAGGAAAAGCTGGACCTAAAGGAGTATGCTATAAATGTTTTAAATTTAATCCACATTACAAAATTAATAATTAGAGCTGCAGAATTGTGCAAACAATCTTTAGTCATCCATCATTTTTGTTCTGTGGTGTTTTCAAAGAACATTTTTAAACAGTAGCTGTTTTGTTTCTTTTTTTTTCTTCAGTCCAGCCCCTGACAGGTTTGAGAGGAATATACTTTACCAATGAGTGACAATAAGCTAATTTTAAGCATTACAACAGTAGTTCCCAAGAGTCTGGTACATATTTAGATTGTTATTATTGTCATATGTTTTTACTCTTGCAGTGATGAAAAACATATTTAGACTGTCAACGTGCATCTTTTTTTTTTTCTTCGATCAATTCTGGAGGCTCCAGATCAGTCTTTAAAACATAATTGGTTTTAATTGTTCTTCTTCTTCTTCTTCGTGCGAGAGGAGTGTGAGTGGAAGAGCAGAGGAGCGGAAAGGGTGAAAGTGTTTATTCATTCTATTTTTCTGTCCTTTTTCTACTTTTTCCACTGGGTGTTGTGTTTATGTTAGTTATTTAATTGTGGGTTTTGTTAGTTTAATAGTTTAAAGGTTTTGTTTGACGAGGGTGTGGCCGTCAGGTGCACCTGGCTGGCCGATGTCTAGACGCCATGGTGGCAGGAGACACGGGAGGATTCTCCACGCTGACGCGGAAAAACGGCATCAAGGGTGAGTGCTGGTTCTCCGTGCAGCGTGGAGGAAGTTTGTTTAGCGGTGGGGGAGGTGGTTGGACATGGGTCCATCATGTCCGCAGCTGCATGGACGGGGCTGTGTTTATTTTTGTTGACAAGGTGGAGAAGGCTCAACAGCTGGTCGAGGCTGGCATCTCAGTGGGTGACTTGTTTTTACAGGTGTCACCACTGGCGCTGCCAGCCACTAAGATAACTCTGTTGAACGTCCCCCCATTTATCAGCAACGAGTTTTTGATAAAGGAGTTGTCCAGACATGGGAAGGTGGTGTCACCAATTAAAAAAGTATTGACGGGGTGTAAATCGCCACTTCTCAAACACGTTGTCTCCCACAGGAGAACACTGTACATGGTTTTGAACAAGCGAGGGGAGGAGTTTAACGTTCGATTTCACGTTAAACTTGATGATTTTGAATAACTTTTATTCGCCACTTCCTCCAACATGAAATGTTTTGGATGTGGTCAGGAGGGGCACGTGATAAAAATGTGCCCAAACATGGCCGGACCGGCCCCGCCCGCTGCTGCCGAGCGGGAGGGGGACCAGTTCGGCAAGGACCGGGCGCAGGAGATTCCCGCTGCCACGAGGGACCCCCCCACCGCTGCCATGGGAGAGTCCGCGACCCCCGCTGACGGGGAACATATTAGTGTTGAGGTGCCAGCTATGGACGGTGAAGCAACAAAAAGTATGTGTGGAAAAAGGTGGCAGCACGGAGGTGTGTGGTGATGGGGAAAATGGTGGTGGTGGGTAGAATGGTGGTGTTGTGGATGGTGAGGGAGAGACTCAGGGTGAGATGGATGATAAGGAGTTAGTGTGTGGTGACCAGGGAGGGAAAGGGGAGGTGGAGGTGGATGGAGAGAAAAAAGATGCAGGAAAGAAAAGTGAGAGGTCAGGAGCTGGTGTGGAGGGAGAAGCAGTTGCGGCCGTAGAGGAGATGGAGCAGGGGGCTCCAGCCCAACTAAAGAAACGAGGCAAAAGCAACACGCCAGGTGACGACTGCACCCACGCGCCGAGTCGCGACCGCGGCTGCACGCAGTGACAGCCGCTGCCATGCGCTGGTGGACTGAGTGCTGCAGATCATCGAGGAGTCGGGCCGTCCCCGCCGCAGCGTGTCTCTGACTATCAGCGGAAGGATCTAGTCAGGCTCCGTGAAGGGAATATCCAGGAGCTGCCGCCGGGACGGTTTGGGTGAATCATGCAGAGACGCGGTAAGCAGGCAAAAGGGTTGGAGTCTGGAGAAATAAACACAGACAACATGGATGAGATTAAAAAATCTCTCAATTTCATGAGTGCTTAACTGTCAGAGCTGGCTAAACGTCAAGAACTATTGATTAGTTTAGTTGAGGAGGTTAAACAGCTGAAAGTCGCACTGAGAGAAAGAGATGTTAAAATTTCTGAACTTGAGAGAAAAGTGGATGAACTGGAACAACACACACGAAGGGATGATTTATTAATCACTGGACTTGAGGTGAAACCAAGAAACTATGCTCGAGCAGTGGCAGGTGGGGACAACTCAGAAGATGCTCCTCAGGAACAATTGATCACGTTGGAGCAACAAATCGTGACTTTTTTGAAAAAGAAGGACATTGTTATCACACCTGAGACCATATCAACTTGTCACACCTTACCAACTAAGTCAGATACAAATAAACCACCCATTGTCATCAAGTTCACCAGTAGAAAAGCAAGAAATAATTTAATGGTACAAGCTAGAAAACTGAAAGGGACAAATGTGTACATAAATGAGCATTTAACTAAAAAAAATGGTAACATTGCTCGTGAGACAAGGTTGTTGAAGAAACAAAACAAAATAGTGGCAACATGGACAAGAAATGGAAACATCTGGGTTAAGGCTCATGAAGGATCACAAGCGAAAATGATAAAGGAACTGAAGGATTTAGAGAAATTTAGATGAATTAGTTAGGAATAAATTGAAAAGTAAACTGAAACAACTTTATACGCAATTAAAAAGTATGGACGTCAATGAATACAAACACTGAGATATGAATACAGATGATGACTCTGAACTTAAAATTTAT